TTGGCTTACGGCCGCATCATCTCCATCTCTGCCTCTGTCTCTGCCTCCATCTCCAGGTGGCAGCTGCTTCTTGTATCTCTTCTGGCAGGGACACCAGCCACGTTGAATCAGGGCCCACCCCATTCCAGTGACATCACTGAACCTGATCACATCTGCAAAGACGCTATTTCCAAATAAGGTCACCTTCACAGGTGCCAGGGGTCAGGGCAGAACATGTCTTTTTGCGGGGATGGGGGCACAAGTCAACCGGTAGCGACCATACCGCTTCTTGTGTTTTTGATCAGGTGTCTCAGGAAGCAATTAGGATACTGCATGTGAAAATCGAATCCTCTGTCCTCTTCCAGTGTGAGAACTGGCAGCATGGGAGGCAGACGTAGCGGCCCCTCTTGCCTCGGCGCTGTGGACACTGCAGACTGGGGCCCTTGATCTGGCCCAGTGGTTCTTAGCGAGGAGTGGTTCTGCCCCGGGGACACCTGGCAATGTCCGAGGACAGTTGCAGTTGTCACAGCTGAGGGATGCTAGTGGTGTTAGTGGGTAGAGGCCGGGGTGCTGCAAAACATCCTGCAATTCACAGGCCAACCCCACAACAAAGAGGTGCCCAGCCTCAAATGTCATTGATGCCCAGGTTGGGAAACCCTCAATACGATCGTCTTGGCACAAGGCTGCTCTGTTAAAGACTACATTTCCCAGCCTCCTTTGCAGTAGGTATGGCTATGTGACCACATTCTAACCAATGGGATGTCAGCATAAGGACTATGCGCAACCTCCATTTGAGGATGCCCTGTGTTTGGCCAACCACACCCTCCCACCCACTGAGTAGACCTAGGTGGAAATGATGGCGGTGGCTGGAGCCAGAGCAGCCAACTGAGACCTCGAGGTGGGAGCTGCCTGCCAGGGATGGCCAAGGAGTGGAAGCCACCAGGATCCTCAGCTCCGCCAGGCCGTCATGCTGGCTCTGCCCAGACCTTGTGTGGAGAGAAATCAACCCCTAATTGTTCAAGCCTCTGTATTTTGGGGTCACCTTGTTACAGCAGCCTCCACTGTACCCTGACTCACTCACAGTCCTAAATCGCAGGCCAGCCCTGTTCTCTCCCATGACGAATTTCTGGTTTTAATCAGAGCCTTCTGGGAAGGGAAGACTTGAGAAGAAAACATAGCAGATCTCGCTGAGTTCGAGCCCACGGTGTCCAGGTTCCAACATAAACATTCCAGTGCTCTCGGCAGTGGCAAGCGTTGCTGGGCCCGCGCCCCGCTTTCCAGAAATATCTGGAGATGGGGTCACCATAGGAGGCTGGAGAAGCTGCATGGGGCCAGGGTGGATGTGAGCATTCTTAGCTTATTTTCCCAAACACGTCAAGGGCTCTTCTGCATTTTCCTATCTGAAAAAAGTCAAAGCCAAACGAAACGGAAAAACTCTCTGAACCCCCTCCAGCTTTGGAACATGTGCCCGCTGTGGTCGGATTCACAAATCATGGGTATGAAATTGCTCTTGTTTACCTAGCCATTCCCACCAGACAGGTTCCTGGATTGGAGGAGGGGGCAATGAGAGGGGAGGTGGGCGGCGTAGGGATGGAGAGGGCCGCCCCCGATGAGCACGTGGCGCCGCAAGCGGAACCTGGATGCTCCTCTTGCACAAGGCAGGCGGCGTCCTAGGGTACCGTCCCCTCTGGTGACAGTTAGGAACATGATCTGCGTCACTCTGTCTCCCCTTCTGATCCCAGCACGTAACTGGTGCTTGGCGATTGAGAGGCAGAAACAGAGGGGAAAGAATTTGACTTTAGGTGAGAAGCCAGACTAGGCAGCCCCCGGGCCTGGACTGCCTCACCCGCGAAGTGGGAACACAAGAGCCTTCCTCGTGGAGGGGTTCTGTGAAAGTCCGATCCACTCATTCATTCATTCATTCACTCATTCGTTCACCATTCTGGGTGCTGGGAGTAAGGGTGCCCATCCTGAGCAGCCCCCAGCAGCCGGACAGACATGGTTAACTGGGAGTCCCCAGGGAGCATGCTTTGGGGAAAGAAGACCCAGTGTGGAGCCAGGGCCCCCCGGGGGTCTGCTGGAGCGGGTGGTCACAGTGGAGGCGTCCACGTGGCAGCGAGGCTGGATGGGGCGGGGGCCTGAGCCTGGGCCCCAGTGGACTGGAAAGCTCCCTGGGGACCTGGGCTGTCGTATCTGCCCCCAGACGCCCCCATGTGCTCATCTGCAAAGTGGGGTTGTTGAGAGCAACCAACTCTCAGAGGTCCTGTGAGAGTGAAATAAAATGTGAGGCTTTCAAATCTGATGAACATCCTGACAACTTCCCAGAGCTCTCCAGAGATGAGAGCCTTAGAAGGGGTGACCTGGAGGCCTGGCCCCTGCGGGAGGCTCAGTGCCAAGTCCAGGGTCATGCTGGGGGCTGGAGCAGCCTGGCTGAGGGGGAAGGGGCGCCTCTGGGGGCAGTGGGGGACGTTTCCGGGAAGGAATCTGCTCGTCCAAGGAAGTCTCTCCACTACTGTCAAAGCTGTGTGTAGAAGCCCCCTCTCCAGGGAGCCCCTCCCGCTGCTCGGCCCCTCCAGTGGCCTCGCACATCCCTAGGAAGGCAGCCTGGAGCCCCCGCAGCAGGCCCTACGTCCCCACGGCCAGGACGGAGCCTGGCACAGAGGGGCACTGGGGCCATCTGTCAATGTCGCAAACTACCAAAGCTCTCCTGGGGTGCACTGGGCTGCTCAGAAGGCAGTGCGCTCCCGCGGCCCGGGGTGTGCCAGCGGGGTTGGGGTCCCGCCTGAAGGGACACTGCAAAGTGACTCACTCGGCGGGGACACAAGGTAGCAGCAAGCATCACGATGATAATGTCACCCGCGATACGCCGAGAGTTTGCTGAGTGCGGCGGTGGTAAGACCCTGGTTCTCTTTTGTTAGAATTTTTTTATTTGCCTAAGTAACTCGAGCTCTCGGAGCGAGCTAAACAATACGGGGATATATAAAGAAATCCTAACATCAACCCTGCTCTGAGGCCTCTTCCCTCCCACGAGCCAGGTCCCGAGAGCTGACAGGCGAAGGTGTTACCCTTCTTGGGCACCTGACAGAATCCCACTTAATCCTTCAGATGCTACTAGGAGGCTCGGAGAGGTAAAGCCGTTTGCTCCAGGTCCCCCCGCTGGTTAGAGGCACAAGCCAAGCAGGTGTCAGCTGCACCTCCGAGCCCTCCCAGGAGCCCCGAGTCCCCTGGCCCAGACTGGCTCCCCTCTCCTCCCTGGCAGCACCTACTGGCCTGCAGGAGGCACACATCCTCCCCACCAAATGGCCTGAGACTCCTGGACCAGTCCACCCAAGCCAGGGCTGACCAGCCCCCGTGGCCACACACCAGCCCCCACCTTCCAGCTCGGACTTGGCAGGGCTGGCTGGCAGTTGGAGCTCCTTCCACCAGACTCCCCGGCTCCAACAGAGCCTTCCTAGACTCAGGGGGCCTGCAAGGGCCCAGGAAGACCACCAAGTCCTGCTCCTCAATTCACAGGTAGGGAAACTGAAGCTCGGAAAGGGCAGGTGACTCGTCCAACATCACACAGTGACTCGCGACTGAGACAGGACTGTGGTGTGGCGACCCCTCGTGTCTAACCTGACAGTTTATGAAGTCCCACCGTGTCTACCACAGCCATTCACTCCTTCATTCGTCCCCCAAATGCCCACAGGCTCTGCATTCATTTCCCATTGCTGTTGTGACAAATGATCACAAACTTAGCAGCTTCTAACAACAAATTTATTATCTTACAGTTCCGAGTCCAGAGGTGTAAAATGGCCTAGTGGGGTTGGTTCCCCTTGGGGGTTCTGGGAAAGACTCTCTCTCATCTTTTCCAGCTTCTAGAGGCGCCCACATCCCGAGCTCGTGGCCCGCTCCGTGCATTACCCCGCCCCCTGCTTCCGTTATCACATCTCCTTTAACTCTGACCCCCTAGCCTCTCTCACCTAGAAGGACCCTTGTGGTTGCACTTAGGGTTCACTCAGAATCCAGGATAATCCCCCATCTCAAATCCTTAGCTTAATCCCATCAGTGAAGTCCCTTTTGTGATGTAAGGCTGCCGAGCCACAGGGTCTGGCTGTCGTGTGTGTGTGTGTGAGTTTTCCCACCACAGACTGGCACAATGATTCTCCAAGGGTGCAGGATAGGGCTGAGGACAGCAAATCAGCTAGGATGTGTCCGGTTGCGAGTTACGGAACCCTCCTCCCCAAAGGCCTTAAACAATGAGGTCACTGGTGTCCCCCTTGGCGGGAAGTCTGGCGAAAGGCTGGCTCCAGCATGGGTTCCTTTGGAAGCTCAAGGACAACATCGTCAGGGACACAGACTCTTTCCTCCTGTCGCCTTCATCTTCAGCTCCTCCTAACCCTAAGAGAGCTGCTGCAGCTCCAGGTGTCACATCCTCACACACACATGACCAAACAGGAAGGCAGCCAGTGAGTCTTCTCGCACATTTCTCACTTTTCATCACAGAGGTTTTATTGGTTGGGACTTGGTCATGTGACCTCTCCTCCAGTCACTGGGGAAGGGAAATGGGTCTACCTTAAGATAGGCTTAGAGGCATCATGATCTTCCCCCAGGGTTGGGAAGGGGTCCCCCATTTCCTGGGCACATCACTGCTCCTCCACCAGAACAAACCAGGTATGCAGGTGTATCAGTCACCTAGGCTGCATAACAAAGTACCACAACTTTACCAGCATAAAACAACACACATTTACTATCTCAGTTTCCATGGACCAGGAGTCCTGTGCAGGTGAACTGACCCCTATACTCATGGTGTGGAGGCTGAAATGAAGGTGTCAGCTGAGGCCATGTTCTCATCTGAGGCCCAGGGACCCCCTCTAGGCTCACACAGCTGTCAGTAGCATTCAGTTCCCTAAGGCTGTGTGGCTGAAGCCAGGGACCACTCGCCACTCCTAAAGACCACATTCAGGTCCTTCCCCTGCAGCTGCCACTCACATCAATGCTGCATTTTCATGGCCAGCAGGAAGGCACTTTTGATGCTTCATCGCCTTCTAAAGGGTCACCTGATCGGGTCAGGCCCACCCTGGATAATCTCCTTTGATTAACTCAAAGCCAACTGGTTAGGGGCTTTGTCAGGGCAGTGATGCCCCCACAGTATTCAGACTCAGGAGGAGGGGCTATCCAAGGGCCTGGAAACTGGGGGCCACCTGAGAGTCTCCCCTACTGCAGGGGGCAAGGAGGAGGTGAGTGCTGGCCACTGGGCACATGGCTGGTGTGGAACCTTTTGGACAGGCTGCTGCCTCCTTACCCTCCAGTCTGAGCAGAGCCCCTACTCCTTCTAGAAAGTTCTCCCTGAGCCCCCGAGCAGGTCAGAAGCCCCTTCTTCCATCTCCTGGCATCTCCCCGGAGGTCAGGGACTAGGCCTCACACCCTCGGCTGGGCCTGAGTGGTGCCAGGCACTGCCCACACTCAGCACAGAGGAGGTGCCCCCCAGATGTCTGCCGGATGAAAACTGAGTCCTCACGTTACCGGGAGGAGACGGGAGGCAGCATGATGACAGTGGGACAGGGGACCACGCTGGCCTGGGCTCGTACCCACATGGGATCTTCAGCAACCCAGGCCTCCACCCGCATCTACAGGATGGGACAACCACACAGCACACACCCGGAAGGGACGCAAAGAGTGAGGCGGGCCCACCACCCACGGACTGTGAAGGACAGGACCTGGCCTAATGGTGGCTTCCATGAGCACTGCTGATGGGCAGGGGTGCCAAGGGCCGGCGGGTGACCAGAGGAGAAGCTGTAAGGTGACACTTCTCAGGGAAGTGACTCCAGGAGACGCCACATGGCTGCCTGGGGCCATGGAACCCTGTGTGGGGTTCTGAGGATGAGCCTGGCATGGAGGGGCATGGAGCCGAGCCTCCCACCTGCTCAGGTGGGTGACAGGCAGAGGCAGGAGCAGGCGTTCCAGGCCCAGGGGGTGACAACGGAGGCAGAAGCACGTCTGGACACCCCAGGCTACGAGTTCTGCACACATCATCCTGGAGAACCTGCACATCTGCCATACAGAATGGGCTCCGTTATCCCCATCCACAGGCCATGCTGGCTCGGAAGGTGAAGGCGGCTTCCTGAGGTCATGTGGGGACACCTGGTCAGCCCGAGCCCAGAGTCCAGGTCAAGGCCAGGCCCCGAGGGGCCTCAAACGCCAGGCTCAGGCATCCGGGAAGCAGCAAGCCCCTGAGGGAGGACCAGTCAGGCCCAGAGCTGGTAGGCAGAGGGGACCCCTGAGAAGGCAGCCGGGACAGGCGGAGGGGGGGTACAAGCTTGAACCCCAGAGGGCCCTGGGCTGAGCGGGGTTCGCAGCTGGTGCTCAACAAGGCCCACTGCTTTAACCCACTACAGTCACTGCCAGTCCAGGACCATCCCCCAAGCCCTGCTTTCCCCAGAGGGACTTCCGGCAGCTCTGGAAGAACTCAGCTGTGCAAACCCATCAATGTGATCAATATTGCAATGGATTCAGTCTGCAGGTTAGTCCAGGAGAGCCAGGCCTGGGCCGGTGGGTCCCAGCCACACTCTGGCAAGACACAGTGGTTCTAGAAGTCTTTGGGGCACAGGGGGAGGGAGAGGAGCAAGCCTCATTTTTCCCTGCCCCATCTTTAAAGATGAAATTTCAAATAAATTTCAGGAAAAAAAATACCTTCAGCCCAGCTGAGAAAACAAGTCCCTTGGTATGGAGTCTGGCAAGCCAGGCCTGCCCGCCTCTGTTCCCACACCAGCCAACCAAGTGGAGGGCTCTTCCTGGGACTCCAGGCTCTTCCCCCTCTCCAGGGACAGACTGAGGGCAAAGACAGCAGGTGGACATGAAGCTCAGCTCCAGGAGCTCCAAGCCAAGGGGGGGCAAAGCCAGCACAGATCTTAGAACAATCTAGTCAATAGCCCCACTTGACAGATGGGAAAACTGAGGCCCAGGGAGGCAGGAGGTTCTCAGGCTGCCAGATGGCAAGTAAGGGAATAAGTGGGAGTTTAAGTCCACAACCTCCACAGAACAGAAGCAAAAGAGGATGCTGGGTGGGGATGCTGGGTCTAGCAAGAGTGGCTCATTCAGGCACCGCCATGCTCTGCCGGGCCCCGCCTGCACCGGCTACACTGCTGGCATCAGCGTAGCTGGGGAGGATGGAAGACAGCAGGCCCTTCGCAGGGTTCCCAGCCACCCATCCCTCCACCACACTTTGACTGAGCCCCTACTGTGAGCTGTGAGCCAGGCCCGCACCAGACAATGGGACAAAGAAATGGCTTGTCCACAAGAGCCCACTGCAGACAGAGACATGGTCCAGTGACGGCCCACCCTGAGGGGCACACAGGAGACCCAGTGGAGGTGAGCAGGCCAAGGCAGAACCCAGCCTGAAACCTGGGAAGAGCTGCCCACCATGGGCTGGCAGAAACCCCACCTCCCTGCAGCCTGGGAGGCTGAGCGTGGCCCCAGGCACGTGCGCATGTGTGGGTGTGTGCATGCGTGCGGGTGCACGAGTGGGTGTGTGCAGCGACATGCAGAAGTGAGGTGTGCACACAGACTCACACACGTGTGCACATAGCCTGTGTGTGTGATTGTATGCATATGTATGGGTGTGTGAGTGCTTAGTATATGTGGGCAGATACATGCATGTGCATAGCGTGTGGGGCGTGCACACGTGTCTGCTTGCAGGTGCACATACGTGCATGCACACACATCCTGTGTACAGATGGTACTCGTGTGCATGTGCTGTGTCATGTATGTGGGCGTGTGCCCGAACAGTACAGATTTGTGGATGTCTGTGTGCGGATGAGTGTGCAGGCATAGATGCACACGGATATGTGTGTACATGGATGTGTGTGTGCATGTATGGATTCGTGTGCATGTGCACGCATGCTTGTGTATGCAGGGAGCTGGTTCAAAGAGACAGGCAACCATCTACCTGAGCTGAGGCCACTGGTGGAGCACAGAGCACCTTGCCCAGCAGGTGTGCACCCAAATTCCTCCTCCTGACAGGGGTCCTAGGACCCAACGGCCTGTGGTTGTGGCCCTGGCTGGACCAAGCTTTCCCTCTGGACCCTGCTCATTGTGGGTGGGATGACGGCAAGTACACCTCGGCAGCCTCAGGATGCTCTGCTTCCACGTGGCTTCCCTTCTGAGACGCCCCACCCCTCCTCCATGCCCGCATCCCCCATCAGGACCACCTGGCTCCCCACAGTGCCCTCCCGTCACCCCTCCTGGTCCCGCCGAGCCAGGCCTGGCTGTCAGCGGCTCACCCGCTAGGCAGTCTTTCCGGGCGCGTGCTGTTCTGCCTGTTACAGGACAGTTGGGAGCAGTTTGTCAAGCTTAATTTTCAGTGTTGGGGTGAGAGGCCTCTCCAGCTCTTTACAAACAGCTCCATCCCTGCGGCCTCTGGTGCACACAAGCAGGACAACATTCAGTGCGCCTTGAAGCCCGGGCTCTCTATCCCAAGGACTCCGCAGGGACCCAGCCCTCCGCCGCCCTCAGCTCTGGGCCCAGGACCCACGGGAGAGGCTCTTCCTCCTTCCTCCTCCTGGGTTATGCCGGCAGTGTGATGCCTGCTGCCTGAGGTCAAAAGGCGGGCCAAACATCCCCAGGGGCCTGAGTCACTTGGCCCGCCAGGCGCTCTAGATGTCTCCTGCCTGGCCTGGCTGAAGAGCTGCGGCCTGGGCAGTGGGACGTCCTGTGTGCATTGGGCCCCCAGGACCTCTGGGTCCTTTTCTTCCAAATCCCTCATGCTGGCTGGCCTTGCTTGTGAACACATGAAGTGTTGAGTGGAGCCAGGACGCTGGATGCATCCCCCCAAAGTGCTCCTCAAAAGATGAGAACCCCTTGTGGTCAGGAGGAGACCCACATGGCTGTGCAGCTGCTGGGAGAGCCAGATCTCTCAAAAATCTACATCCGACCACCGCCACATCCCGGTTTTGGGTCTTCCTCTGGCTCCCCATGCCTCCAGGACAAGTCCACCCCCACCCCAGGGAGCACAACCAACAGGGGCCTCTCGCTTCCTAAAAACTTCTGTCACTCTTCAAATGCAGCTCAGAGGTCACCTCCTCTAGGAAGCCTTCTTTGACAACCCCACTGCCAGGCTTGGAGGGGAGGAGCTGCAGGGCTCTGATGACATTCACTGCCCCCATCTCAGTGTGTGACACCATCTGCCCCAGACAACAAGCACTCAGGTAGGAGGCCTGATACAGACAAGGCCAGCGTGTGCCAACGAGGGAGGGTCAGCTATGTGTGAGTCTTCCCTGCAAAATGCTCCCCCAGGCGCCCCAGTCAGTGGGGTCTCTTAGGCCTCCAGGACCAGGGAGGTCTTTCACAAATATGGTGCCTCTACCTTCCCTGGGTCACATACGGTCGTGGCTTTGCTCCCCAAAGGGCATCAATGCCAAGGACTGGCCTGGGAGCTTTAACCTTCTTGGACAGGTCTGCCATCTGGAGTGTCTGATTTCCAGCCCAGCGCCAGCCTGAGCCCCTCTTCCTCAGTGTAACTGCTTAACAAGGGTGCTGGAGCTCCACGTTGGCATCTCTGCTAAGATAGTGTGCTCTCCCGGGAAGGCCTCTGAGCTCAGGAAAGAGAGGCGCAGCCCTCAAGCCAGGCACATTTCTAGGCGTCCCCGGGGAGGTGGGAAGTTCTGACCCTTCCCGGAGACACCCTCCTATTACCCAGAGGCATCCCACTCCCTCCCCCAGCCTCAACCCCCACCGCACCCCCCTATCTGAGGATGCAGAGAGCTGCCCGCTGGCCTAGGTGCGTTTCTGCTCTGCTGGGAGAAAAGGTGCTCCTGTTCATCCTAGTGAGAAATGCCACGCCTGGGAACTCCAGCTTCCTTCCCACGGTCTGTCTTCCGAAGACCTCAGGCTGCCTGGAGGTGGGGACCAGCACCTGACACGGGGCCGGAGCAGCAGTGCGCATCTGCGGAACGAATGCACAGGGACGTGGGACCCGGGTAAGCGGGGGTGACCTCAGAAGCTCGCCCCTAAGCAGAAACGAGGCACCCACGCAAAACCGCCTCTCATCCGGGCAATTCAGTTTGGGGCGTTTTTCAGAAACGGTTAGGTTAAACATCCCCCACTCTTTACAAGCTGGGCCACGGAGCATAAGAATTAAACTTCAAATATTGCCAACATGGGTGCAGAGCTTGGGAGCCTGCCCAGGGCTTCCACGGGCACCGCCGTCATGATTCATGCTTCAGCAGCGCTTGGAAGCGGGCAGAGGAGGGAACTGCGGCCGAGGGTGGGGAGATGGTTCTGCCCCGGAGCACCGACCAGAGATGGGAGCCAGAGCGGGCCCTGGCCCTCCGCAGCACCCGTGCGCACCCAGGCAGCGTCGCGTCCTCCACCAGGCTGCGAGTGGCTGGCTCTCCAATCAGGCCGCGGACCC